CACAAAAATAGTAGACTGGAACTACAGGATATTCTAGCATCAAGCTGGCCAGGTTCCTTTGTATGTTCGTGCATTCACATCTGTAAATGTTAGATTACCACAAGGCTTCCTGAGATAAGAAGTTCAGGTTGGCAGTGATGACGATTACAACAATGATGGTTTCCATTTGCAGCTAGCTTCAATGTCAAAATGAACCATGAACATTTGCTCTTCCTTCTCCTGATAAACTGAAGGATGAAGTAGCTAGCACTGATGATCGATCTTGCCATGACGCAGATCTATATGCTCATGTCTGCAGATTCCCATCTTCACAAATGAAAAAAATAGATACAGTTGGAATGCCCAGTGCAACAAAAAATAAGGTGTGCCCTATCTGCTAGTGCCTCTTCCCAGAAGAAGACATCCAGTATCAATCAAATGACTGCATTAATGTAAAAAGAAACACAGTTGTATAGTGAGCTTATGTTTGCAGATGATGTCACTGCCAGTTGATGATGATGATGATGCCAGCCCTATTGAGACTTCCAGTGGAGGTAGCAGTGCAGGAGAAAACAAATATTAACTGGTATCTCCGATTGATACCGAAGATAAGTTTCCAGAAATTACAAGATATTTGCTACCAATGTAGCTCCAATTTTGAAATGTTAAACACAAAAAAAAACTTTAAAATATCGTCATTATTAGGGTTTAAAACTTCCGCAACAATGTAAAATTCCGATGTAAAATACCTGTGTAAAATTCTGTTCTTATTGCAAACTTGATGCTTCTCGCATTATTTTCCCTTTTTTGGCGCGTCACATTTTTGTAGCTTATCTTTCAAAATTGTGACGGTGAATGCATTTACACAGGGCTGGATCAGTGGCGCTCCGCTTTCAAAGCCGTATCAAAAACGATGCAGCTAACTGTGTCAATAATTGGGGTTGTGTTTCTAGCTATGTGTACACGGAAAGAAGTATTGTCACTACTTCGTGATGGATCAAAAGAGTTCCGTTTCTGTTTTAACGGGTTCTAGGCTTTTTGCTTCGAAAACTGAAGTGTTTTGTTTATAATTTGATTATGCAATACTGGTTTCTAATAGTGAGATTATTATAAAAAGTAGAGAGTGGCTGCTTAGAGCGTTCTTTTAATGTTAAACGCATTCTTAAGGCCCTGAAATGGCGTCGTTTTCTAGTTCCTAACGGTCGCAAAACAAATTAATACTGGCCAAAGCAACTGCAACATCAGGTCCAAACTCCGGGTTGGAGTTTTGTTCTTGACAGAAAACTTGAGACCTTGATAAATATTTATCATGCTTTGCTGCTTTAATTAAAGGCGCTAACAAAAAATTAGGCCAAATACGAGATAACGGCGCCATTACATTCATAGGGGTATAGTTAGAAGAGCCGAGTCAGTCAATCGGCTATCCCATCCTTCAGTGATACGATAAATAATTTCAACAGAGGTGGTAAAACGTCTATGTTAATGCAATGTTTAAAGATAAATCTTGTCTCAACGAGTTTAAAACATATTTATGTAAATGATTGGAAGATATCTAAGTATTTTCCCCAAATGACCTTTATTGAGGCATCTTTTCTCAGCAATGTTTACAGAGCGCAAACTTGTGAGAGTTATCTTCATTCAAAGCAATATTAAACCTCAGAGTTCAACAAAGTTCTGTTGTCTGTAAATATTTAACAATGTTTAGATACTCCATTTCAATTCTATTAATTTCCAGGCTTCTGAATTTATGAATGTTTGTATTCATGGGCAGCTGTTATACTCATTAATGCCGGAGGCACATAGGGCTGAGATTTGAAACGAGAAATCATTGTGCTTCAATACCTCCGGGCTGTTTTTCGATACTTTCGTTCAAATCACGTATCTTTCCGTATTGGAACTTATTTACTGAAAATTCTTTTTGTTCGATGGTGTATGGTGTCCGACTTTCAGGTGTGTCCGTCTCTTGAAGGTGTGCATTGCCCCGTGGTCATTTCTACAAGGCTTTGACCACATGAAAGAAACCACCAGTGAAGAAGGCATTTGTCCGTTTTTCAATTGTGTTTCTTCCTAAAGGCTGTGACCATATGAAGGAAACTTTAGATCTTAAAGTTTGTCCGTTGTCTGATAGTGTCTACTGTTTGAAGATGCGCATTGTCTGGCGGCCTCTTCTACAAGTGTGTGGCTACATTAAAAAGCGTAATGAAAAAAGTATTAGTTCATCAATGGATTGGTTCCGTTATTTGTGGCTATCTATAGAATGATGGTGTCAGAAATGCTTGATTGTGTCCGATGTTTGATAGTGTCCATTGTTTAAGCATCCCCACTGTTTGGTTGTAACGGCTACAAGATGTAGATCACAGATAGAAGCTTTCGGACAAATGTGTTATCTTTGTCAATACGAGCCCATTCCTTGAGTTTTCTGTTCTATTAGGTTGAAGTAGTCCTGTTTTCGACCCCCACGTTGATTTAATAATCAGTCAACATTTTTCCTACAAATGGGTTTTATTGATTTATCATTTGGTCTTGACATATGTGATTGAATTCCTTATGGAAATTGTGTACTACATAACCGCCATAGAGGATACCCCTAATAAATGACTTTTTTCTTTGAGTAGTGTTTGAAGTTTATCCACTTTTTCCCAAATACATGTTTGTATCTTTCGCAATGAAAAAGGCTTCTTTGCTGAAATAGTTAATTTGCATTGAAATTTTGTCGTGAACCAGTTTCATTCAGTTACTAAATCTAAATTACTTGAATGGACTCAGTGGCTGCCGTTAACAAAGCTTGACCAAGTATTTGGCCCTCTGTGAACTACACTCATTTCTCTTTGACTAGGACTAATTGCAGCACAATGGATATCGCGAAGAAGCGTGTGAATATGATTACCCTTATTTGGTGGTAGTCAGTTGACTTGAAGGCTCTCCTTGGAGAGCACAAAGCTGATATTGATCTTCAGGAGACTATTAGCTTATATGGTGCTACAAAAACTTCCATACCAGCTAATTCATATGAAGTAAAATGTTGATGGATTATCCAAAAAGGTCTTTTAAAGCGTGAATAGTTTCAAGGCCGCACGAAGAAACAGCTGCATTGAACCAAGCTGTACATTTTCAGTAGAAAGGAGAACAATTCTTGTAATCACGAAGAAACTGGTTTTTATTTTGCAACATACCTTTTCAACTAGGCCTTGTTTTTTTCGAGATAACTGATACACCTTGCGTAACGTAACAGTTCAAGATCACACAAAAACCGAAACATTAATGAAGCCCTTCAGCGCACAGAAAAAAAGTCGTTAGCTAAAAATCACATCTCAAGTTATTAAAAACGATTGTGAATACACGTAATCACGTCTGAACAGAAGAATTTTGACGCCATGTTTTTGGAAAGGAGAGATTTCGGTGCTTTGGAGTCCTGTCGTGTGACTAGTACTGGGCAGATTTGGCAATAAGGGGCTTATTACATGAAGCGAGCTGTCTTGGTTTTCAAGGCTGGCCCGTTCATCCGGGCTGCGACTTTCTAACGATTATATGGAGAACGCCAGCCCGGCCAGGAAACTGGCGGTAAAAGTTTTGACGGGTATATTGATTTTAACATGGCTGATCGCTCGCGCATGCGTTGCTTGAATCCGTAGCCCGATTTGTCCGGCTGGCCCGACTTGAATCGATTACACGGGCGAAAACGTCAAAGTGTAGCCCGCACTGATGGGCTAGCGCGGAAGACGAGATCCCGTCAAACCGGGTTAGCCCGTTCTCCATGTGATTAAAAGTTTACTAAACTGCTCCATGTAATCAGCCCCTAAGATTGCAATGCTCTATTTTATCAGGATACATATCTCCTTTTTTATAATGAGCTGTTTTGCATATATGATACAAAGAAGTTCTGAGCTGCAATTATATACTGTGTTTTTGCCAATTTTCAATGGAAAAAGTCTGTAAAAGCTTCAATTTCACAGTTATGCAAAGAAAGGAAAGAAAAAAGAGAATTCCCCTATTTCACACATGTAAAGAACAGCTTTTATCTCCATACGTTAATTAAGATAAACAGCATACATTATTCCATAAATTTACGGAAGTATAAAAATTACTGTTAAACGGATTTATGTAGTGCTCGATGGTATATAGGCAGATCTGTACATGCTATGCGTATCGAACTTGCAACTCCGAGTTTCACGCATAATGCAATCATTAGGCAACTGTGCAGGTAATCACCTTACCTTGAATTTCTATACGTATATCTGCTTCTCCTGACTTAGATAAAAATAGATAAAGCCCTGTGGGTTAACTGAAGGTGTGGCTGATTCAATTGGCTGGCTATCATTTGCTGTAGCGGAGGCGAAAGACTTTGGTAGCTAACCTAATGATTCTTAGTTCCCTTGGCTTTATCTACTACAACTGCTCAAATGATGTCGGCCTTTAAACCATAAACTTTCTACCACTTATGTGTAATAAACATGCAAGTATTACCAGGCACCGCGCACCATTCTAAAAGTGGGTGGGTTGAAAAGGGCATGGCCGGGAATTTTTTGAGGTTACGCCCTTTAGAATGCCGGAAGACGCCCCTTTTAGAAAATACTTGCTTCTTTCCACTTATTTTTTATAAACAGTCTATTTCAGAAAAAATAACAATTACTAAAAAGAGAGATTTAACAAGATAAGACACCAAGAAAATGAACAAAAATGGGTTACTTGTCAAGACGAACTGCTACTACTACTTGGGATCCAATAGAGTGAGCTTTCCAAAGTAGTGTTAGAGTAGACTTTCTAAAAATTACTAGCCTATTATTCCAAAAAGGTGGAGGGGGGGGGGGCTATAGCCCCTGCAAGCCCAATGGCTGCGCGGTGCCTGACTATTACCAATGCTGCTAGTTTAAATCATATTAGCCTGTTGTCTTTTCTGCTACCTATATTCACAAAAACCCATCATTTATCCACTTTTTTGTCTCTAATTAATACCAGACAATCATTTTATTTTAAGTGTTGGGTAATCAAAATGAAAATTTGTAGATCAAAGTTAAGCTCACCACTACTGCACTGGTTTTACCACTTTGCATCGGTTTTCCAAAAACCTCCATGGCAGAAACGCCCAATAGCAACAAGAAGACCAATTTAGCGATCCCCATAATGCTGATGCTGTTTCTTCTCCCAAGCCTAGTGCAGCTTTGTCAGGCAGGGTACTGTAGACCAATTCCAAAATGATAACCTCTGGTCCACTTAAATACTTTTACAACCGAAAAAATGTCACGTGGTTCGTCTTATTGCCCTTCCTTCCAAAAGAGACTAACATGAACAGTCGTGCCGCTCCAAAAGGACGATATTTGTTATTAAAACTAGTATCAGCGCCTTAATTAAACAAAAATATTTCTCCATTCTTTTGTGATTTCTGCAAAATAACATGTAAGATACAACTAAATGGCTCAACTTGCTAAATTCTGTACCTCACACCAATGAATGCATGTGGTTTGTACCAAACGAGCTGTTCCTAAATGAAAAATTGCACCAATAATCGCAATTTACAAAAAATCGTTATGTTGCCTAATTTTTCTGATTCGTGAATAAGACATTATTGTCTGGTAATACAAAGTACTAAAATTCTCTGGTTGTCTTTGAAGATTAAATTTTCAACTTGAGCCCAATCTTGTTGTGATATAGCTCACATTATTATTTTCAAATAACCTTTGATCGTGGTTAATCACAATAACATCTGTCACAATTAACTCTATGTCAGGCTATCTTCCCCTTAAAATTCCTGTCACGCTCTTTATTTGTTCGTCAAGCCAATGGTTGCCCGATGCCACACCCACTTCTAGAGCACATGAACCGTTCCAACCTACACCAAGGGCCCTCTTCATTTGAAGTGAGATAAGTTTCACAAAGAGATTTACACGAGAAAGAGGCTGCCTCGCCTAACTGCCGAGTCAGTGAGCCAGCCAGGTAAAACATTCTTTCATTTTTTATCTGAGGCTAGCAAACTTAATTGGATGAAGGCTATCCATATAATTGAAGTCGTTCATCACCCTGCCCGAACTGGCAATTCAAACGGAGTGGGAAACCTCAACTCGTATAAGCAGGTCCAAAGAATTTTCATTCATATGGTTGACTACCATCTGTGGCCCTGTTTCTCTTTATTTCTAGCATAATTGCTGTCTCTGTCAGAGGACAGTTGAAATATGTAGTTCTACAAAATCTGTTTCAGTATATAAATCAGTATATAAGACACTCGCTTTGCATCAATCAGCATGACATTCTTGTCCACGAAGATATTTGAACCTTTTTCAATCTGCGCCAATATACTCTAACCAGAATTTTCAAGAGATAAGCAGAACCCTTGGTCCAGAAAGTGGCACATGTCCCATTTTATACGCCCAAAAAGCTTTGGGAGTTTTAAAATTTCAGCTTATAACTGAGGATACATTTTTAAAGTTCCCGTCAAAAAATGCTGATAAATAAAATTTTAATTGATGAAATTTTGTCAGAGTTAATTTCACGAGGGATACTGTAGAATTTGATTTACTAGGGGTTTCCTTTTTATCCAAATTGTCTTTTCCTCTTTGGGTTTCAATTATCATGCTTTCATTCTGGTAGTAGGTCCTTTTGTGCCCTTTTCGATGCATTTGAGAATAGGGCAGTAGGAGTTCTGTATTTTGGGTTTCTTCATGGAGTTGTTAGTCCCTTGGCTCTGGTGAGGGTATTTAAGCGTTTGGGTGGGGCTTTTCGTGGTTGCTGGTGGACTTTTTCAATGCTATTATCATGGCTGAGCAGCAGAGTCGCAATGAAAATAGTTTGAGTACTGCTCCTTCTTCTGCGGCTTCTATAGTTTGGATATGTCGACTAGAGTTTCTTCCCAGAGTTAGATCCCAGATTCGAATTTCTTCCCCAATATTTCGACGCTACGTGAGATGTCTCAAAGGCCTTTTGTAATACAATCTCAACCTATTTTCACATAATTTTAAAATTTCAGAAAATGGAAATGACTAATGATCGACTACTTTACCTGCTAGAAATAAACATAGGTATCCTGTCGCTGTGTACGAAGAATGCCGGTTCTCTTTTGATGCTTTGTAGGTAGTTTCATAGCATCTGCTACGCCCATGGGTAGTTCTGCTTCATAAACTTGAGTTGCTTTTTGGAATGGAAACCGTTGTAAAGTTTTCAATATTAACTGATGCGATAATCTTGGAAACTTTCACCTACAGCATCTGAGGGCAGAAACGCCGAGCCGCGAAATTTAGTTGTTTGTTGCGACAAAGATAATTTATTCTTTCTTTCTCTTGCTTTTTGGATTAGAAATTTCTTTGATTGGAAACTGTGGTGTGGTCTTACCCATATAGCAGGATCAACTACCTTTGGCAAGCTTTGCCACTGCTTATTTTCTGTTTTGATACTCACAAGGAGAGAAGGATGACTGAAGCATCTTGATGTTCCATTTATTTCGTGGCTTTTCTATACTATCAAGCAAAAACATTTGGCTATCAGAATTTTTTCAGAAAAGGAAAGAAATCCATACTTTGATAAGATAACTGACACTGATAAGAAACAACATTTATCGCGATAAGAAACAATATTTGATAAGAAACAACATTTATCATGATAATTATGCTCATTCCTAAGATTTCACAATGTTTTGTACGAATGTTACTGAGCGTTTTTTTAGAAGCAGATGTCAGGCAATTTTCCCCTTGAATGCATATTTCGCATTAGTAATTAGCTATTGCGCCAAAAACGTTTGGAGTAGAATTCCATTGATTTTTGACTTTTAATCTCTGCTTCATGAATTTTTACGGTAGTAAAAATTCAACCTCGTTCCCGTGCTTTATGCTAAACCAACAAGATAATTGTTTTTGCATTAGCCAATCAGATTCACGACACATGCTCTTTAAAACTCTTTCTTCGTAAATCGAATTCATTGGTTAATTTATTTTGAAGACTCTTTTCATAATGACGTCATTTTCTTATAGTTGCTTTATTTTTGTGAAATCTGTTTATAACCTTCCCAATATGCTCAATAATTGTTTTGAACATATGATTAGTTTTCTATATTTTATTTCCTCTCAGTAATTTTTTATAAATTTGTTTCTGGAGAGTCCATTACTGCAATTTGTAAACTGTATCTCAATAATAGTTTGCGAACGAACCAGAAGATGTGAAATGAGTTTCAAGTCACTTTTAAAATTTTATTATGTTCTTCGGGCAACAGTAGCCTGGGTTGAATATATGGACGTAGCAGACGGAAAGCGGCTTTTGAGGGAGGGGAGGGGGGAAGGGGGGGATTATTATGGATCTTGTCCGATTGTTTTTGCTTCAATGATATTGAGCTGACCGAATGGAGTCTAAAATACGATATTATATTTTTTTATTTTTTCATTTTAATTCATTCAATTTTACAATTTGACTACAATTTGCAAAAATCATTCAACATTCAACAATTAACAAAGATTGTTAAAACAAGATTGCAAAGGATGAAAAACAGAAAATTACTATGAATAAATACAGAAAATTGTATGGAGGGGTATTTTCTAAGGAAGGGCTTTCTAAATAGTTCAACTAATCGAGAAGAGAGCACCCCCTTTTCTAATTTTAATCTCATTTCTGAGCAAAAAACGTATTGAAAATGTTGCCTAGATGGGGGGGGTGCAGCCCTTTTAGCCCCTATGTCTCTTACACCTATGAATAGAGAATTCTTTTGGCTGGGGTCTAAGGATTTTTGAGCAGTTTCTTAAGGATGAGGGTACAATAGTTTCGTAACTTTTTTAGTTACCTTTAGGCTCAGTTTCTTGTAGACGGTTTCTTATAAAACGAAAATAATGTAATGAATAAGATATTATTCATTGTCGATCTAAATCTTCATCGTTTGATTACGTTTATTGAAATCAGTATAGGACTATAGATTAAACAAATTTAGAAATGATTTTTTGATATCAAGAATTTGGCCTAATCCCTTTAGCATCGACCTTAAGCTGATAAAGTGTCTATTGGAATTGTATTTAGTGTTTTCATGACGTACGTTTGATGTGATAAAGTTGTTCTTCATTTCTTTCATTGATCCGAGTTTCTCTCCTTTGGCTTTTACACAAAGTTGCAGCTTGGAGTAAATCAGAAGAAAACATGGGGGTTGCATGGGGAGTGTCACAGCCTGAATTATACTAGCCAGTCCAGGCAATTCATATCTTTGATCGTGAAATTGGTCCTTTTTTATATTTGTTTCTATCTAGCATCCGAAGGTAGTTTCTAGAACACTGAGAAACTATGCTTATCGAGCAGTGCCCTGGTCCTTTCTCTCGATGTGACCACACCTCGTGATTCCTGTGCCTGATTTACAGAGAGCTGGCGACTCTTTGCCTGGTTTGTAAGTTTGGTCATGCCAGGGACTCGAACCACAAACCCTTGGTTCTGATCAGCGCCTTTAACAACTGAGCCACCCTCGCACGAATGGTCCTTTTTACTGGGTGAGAACATTATGGGCAAGAAAGAATGTCAGTCCATGGATGATAACACGAAAAATGCTACGAAAGAGGTAGCAGGACAAAAAATTGAAGAGTCAGTGTTACCAATATGTGGAGCTTCCCTGTAAAACAGTGCTAAACCTAGAGATATGGTACCGAATGACTTCGCGCGAAGTTATTTATTACTTAGACAAATTTATATTAGTAATCTGGAATTTATATGCGCCGGTGTCATTTCACTCGAAAGAAGCAAAGCAAGTAACAAATCTCTCAAAAGGCCAGCAAATGTTATTTTTGACCAATCTCTGACTGCAGTAAGCCGCGAATAAACGGTCCTGGAAATGATCAAAGAAATTGATTATTTGATACAAAATAAATGAAAATTTGTACATCAAATATAAGGCAATATTACCAAAAGGCAATAAAAACCAAAGTTATAGGACCAACCCCCCACCCCACTTTTCTGCCAATTCGATGCATGCCGCTTCAGTTAGAAACCTGAAAACTTTACGAACATTCAATAAATATTCCAATAAATAAATATCAATAAATATCCACCGACTTCGACCTGAAGTGTCCTTACTGAAGGACATCCTTTCAGACTGTATTATTCAGTTTTGCCTTCTTGGTATTTAATGCATTCATGATGCAGCCAAGGCTGTACTCCTCTACCCAAGGTTCCAGAAAGTAAGAACGAAGGAAGATGAATTGCAATGGAGAACCCAGGCACCGCGGAGCCGGGGGAGGGGGGCTGGGAGGGCTTTAG